CTTTACAAACTATAGACAGTACACACAAAACAAAATTAACACTTACTAGCCATGATACGACTTCTAATAATAAAAATATAATGTAAAGAATTGTGCAAGAATAGAAAAAGGTGTTTTATTTCAGAATCCAACATTAGGAATCAGAAATTGCCTGTTTGGAGTGCAAGAACAATCTCAACAGACCAATAACTGTAAAGTGACGTATCACAATACAGACAGAAAACACAGATGTGCAATTACAACAGAGTATGGTGCAAATGATTGTTCATTTGAGTAATTACAATGAATAGTAACAGTGCAAATGATTGTGCAGCAGTTAGTGTGTAAACACTTATTGAGATATTTGTAAACATTATGATTTTTGGGTGTGGTGCTGGTTATAGTCTGACAGCTGCTGGGAGGAAGGATCTATGATAACGCTCCTTTGTGCACCTCGGTTGCAGCAGTCTGCCACTGAAGGAGCTCTCCAGTTCAGCCACAGCTTCATGCCTGGTGTGGGAGATGTTGTTTATCAATGATGTTATTTTAGTCAGAGCTCTTCTGTCTCCCACCACCTGCACTGTGTCAAGGGGGCATCCCAGCACAGAGCTGGCCTTCCTGATGAGCTTATCTAACAGCTTCCTCTCTGCTGCAGATAAGCTGCCGCTCCAGCTAACCACCCCGTAGAAGATGGCTGATGCCACCACAGAGTCAAAAAAGGTCTTCAGGAGCACCCCCTGCACTCCAAAAGACCTCAGCCTCCTCAGCAGGTAGAGTCTGCTCTGACCCTTCCTAGGGGGCGTAGATGGTTGAGGACCAGCCTCTCGAAGGTCTTCATTAGATGCGATGCCAGAGCTACCGGCCTGTAGCTGCTGAGGTCTTTCAGGTGTTTGGTCTTGGGCCCAGGTACCACACAGGAGGTCTTCCACAGCTGTGGTACCTTCTCCAGCTTCAGACTCAGATTGAACATGAATCCCATGATACTGGTCTGTAGTTAACTCTAACCTGAACCAAAACTTATTTCACATCATACCTCTAAACCTAACTAAAGCACAGCAGAGCTGCAAACGAAGTGAGGACATTGAAGAGGTCATCACTCTACAACAAAGACCTCACTTTGATAGTAACTGGCACAAATGGTCCTCACCTTGTAGTAGAAACAAGTACACACACACTCATGCACGCACGCACGCACATACACACACACACCTCTGCAGGGGTCTCTCCATGTGGTGGAGCAGGGAAATGTTCCTCTCAGGAGGACTTCCTATCACCCATCCTGACATGATGTGGCTGAGCCGGGCCTCCCCGCTCCGCTCGCTGCAGCCTGGCATTAGTCAGCATCTC